AAGACTGAACAGCTTACCGAGGCCCCCACTTTTGTTCCTCCACAGTGCTGGGTGCGGCCGCTGAGGCCCAGAGGGGGCAGTGCCACACCCTAGACCTGGCCTCCCGTCCCAAAACTGGCTGTCTGGCCCCAGCAGGCTGAGCGACTTCTGGGCCAGGGAGAGGATAGACCCCGATGCCTCACGCCTAGGCAGCATCCATCGCAGTGGCCAGCTAGCTGCACAGAGCATCAGATACTCAGAAAACTGGCCTGCTCATGTCTCCTTTCCTCCAGGAAGCCTTCCAGATCCAGGCCTGGCTCTTGAGGCTCTATTTTCCCCCCAGACTGAGGGTTCCTCTGGGACCCCAGGATGCTGAGTCCCCAAGCTCAGGAAACAGAGACAAGGGATGATTCACCCTCCGAGCCACATGCCATCAGTTCACTTGAGCTACAGTTGGGCACAAGGCAGGAGTGGCAGATGTGGTGGCCACACCCACAGGACTAGCCATGAACTCCATTAGGGCAGGGGGCCACAACCGCTTGTTGGCAGCCACCCAGCACCCAGAAAGCACCTAACCACGTGCTGGCCTGAGGCGCCTTTCCCCTGACTGGCTGAGCACGCAGGGGGGGCAGAGAGGGGAGGACTCACCTTTAAGAGCCGGGAGGGCTGATTCTGCAGGGAAGGGACTGCTGCGCGGTGGGTGAGGGGCACCAGGGGAGTTCTGCTGAGTGTTAGCCACAAGTGGAGCTAAGATTCGAGCTGCTGTTCAGTGCTCTGGGTGTGCACCTGGCCCCCGTCACCCCCTGAACTTGGTCCTCGTCTCCCCCTGAACTTGGCCCCCGTCACCCCCTGCGCTACAGTCACAAAGAAGCCCGGAGTGGTGCAGCCCAGCCCGCAGGTGAACTCCTGCCTGGTGTCATGGGGTGAACAGGGGTCCTGCCGTCCCACAGACCTGGCTCTGGTCCCCGCCACGCATCCCCAATCCACCTCTGACTGTCCCCATCTTGCCCAGTGGACACAAAGCCCTAGTTCCAGAGAGGTGCCCAGGTTGGAGTGAGGGCCCAAATGGGCCAATTGGTTGCCGAAACAAGCACAGCTTCCCCCAGGGGACTATCTGGAGCCAAGACTTTTTGGATGGTAACTTCTGGTGGGTTTGCTGTGGGCGGGCAGGAGGCTTCCCTCTCCCCCTGGGGCAGAGTGAGTTTCAGTCTTGGCCCTGTGTGTAAACGACACATTACCATAGGTGCACACCCAGCAAACCTCGATTAAGCACTCCTGGATTCCTGCCCAGGTCTACATTTTTAAAAATAAATAAAAATAAAAAGTTGCCTATGTTTTGAGAAACTCAGAAGGAGGGGCAGGTCCTCCCAAGAGTTGGCCCTCAAGGAAGAAGATGCAGAGTGACAAGCGAGGAGGGAACCCAGTGGCAGAGCGCCTGCGGCTGCCTACGCAGGTCCGGCTGCCTCCTCCAGGCAGCACGCCTGACTGCCTCGCCCTGAGCACCCTGCAGCTACAGATCCTAGACTGCCCTGGTCCAGACCCTTCTTGCCAGTGGGTTGGTGAGCTTCCTAGGGGCTTTCCTGCGTCATCCAGGGCCCTCTGCAGGCATGGAGGTCAGGTGTGGGGGTGGAGCAGCAGCCCCTGAAGTCAGTTGTCCTGCTGGGGCTGCAGATCCCTCCACAGCCCTTAATCACAGGGTACAGGTGGGGTCTGCACCCTCGGGAAGAGGTGAGGGTGCCCTTGTGGACACTTGAGCCCCTGTCCGCCACCTCTCAGAGCCAGCACCCTTCCTTCCTCGTTGTTGGCTACCCTGCAGCCACAGCTTAGACCCTGCCAAACGCACTGTCCACTTCTAAAGTGACCCGGTTGTACCACCCTGTGACCCCACCGCCCCCGTCACCGTCCTTCCTTCCTCTCCTGCCCTGCCCCTCCCTGTTTGGTGCCTCACAGCAGCAAATAAGACAAACATGGTCCCCGCCCCACGGAGCTTATAGTCTTGAGGGGAGACAGACAGTGAACAGGGGAACAGGTTCATCAACGAGGCGCGTGTAGGAGGAAAACATGGCAGGGTTGCGGGTGGGCTCTGAGCAGAGCCAGGCCCCCCGGGGGGTGTTTGGGCGGGGACCGCCCGCTCATAAGGCAACCAGCTTTATCCAGCCGGCCAGCCCCAGCCTCAGTTTACCCTTGGCCTCTGGATGGCCCAACAGACATACTGAGCGGCTCTGTCCCACCACCCGTCAAATACTGCGCCCACACTCCCTGAACCCCTCACACTCACCCACCAGAGCAGCCCCTGGCCTATCCTGGGCTGGCAGCGCCCCCAGCCCCTGACTCAGCCCCTCCTGGTCCCTGCTCATTGCTGCAGGCACCAGGGCCTTGGCCCTGGACGCAACTCCCTGGCCCCTCAGGCACAGCAGCGCCCACCCCGGTGCCCCACCGTGTCTTTCCCCGTCTCTGCTGCTCCAGCTCCGTTGCCCAGGCTGACCCCTGCCCCCACTGCACATCTCAGGCTGAATGTCCTCCACACCCAGCCACACGCGACCCACCCCCGGCCCCATCTGCAGCCTGGGCCTCTCCCCAGGGCTCCACACCTCGTGTCCAGCCGCCCACCTCTCTCTCCTCCCAGATGGCCTCCAGTCACCTCATGTCCAGTGCACCCAGTGCTGACCCCTCTCTGCCTTCTGCGCTCCCTACCCCTGCGAAGGGCACAGCTATGCTCCATTCCCTGTCATGCCCAGTCTTGTCCTCACCCCTCACTGCCTGTCACCAGTCCTGGCCATCACCTACTCAGGAGCTCTGACTGGTCCAAGAAGGGCCCTGGGCTGGGCACCCTGAGATCTTCTGTGACCTGGGTGGTGCCACCATCCTTTCCTGGCTTTCTCTCTCAGGGCACTCATCCAAGCCCTGCCTGACCTCAGTATGCACATCTGTGAAGCGGGGATGTGTGCACCCCCACAAGACAGCACCCACCCTGGGTCATCAGAACCACCAGGGGATGATGCCAGAGGCAGGCCCCATTAGGGGTTGCTCAGGAGCCTGGGGCTTGGGGGCTTCTGCCTCCTCTCTGAGTGTGAAGTTGGCGTGGGCCAGGAGTCTGGAAACAACCCCTTAACAGAAGCACAGGGAAGGTGTGAGAGTCCTTGATGCCCTGCCCTCAAATCAGGGCCCCCCTCCCGCCTGGGGTGGGGGTGGGGGTCTCCAGAAGCCCTGCTCAGACTTCAGCCTGGAGAGGTCATCTGGATTTGACCTGTGTCCCGGCAAGTCTGATCTAATTCGGCAGGAGGGGGGTGTGTGGGTGGATGGGTGGGTGCTTCTTGGTTCCCCAGTTGCCCTTGGGAAGCCCCTGGAAGGCTTTCCCACCTTCCAGGGAAGAAAGATGTGTTCCCTCGGTAGAGAGTGGGGCCTGGAGGAAGCCCACTGCCTTCCACCAGGAGCCCCTCCAGCCACTCAGTGGAGGTCAGAGCCCAAGGGCTGAGCCCTCGGCTGGGCTGTGTGGGCAAGAGGGCCTCCCCTCCAAGATGAGGTGCCCAGAAACAGCGGCGAGGATGCGCTGGCAGCCGGCACCTTCCCTTCTTTGGGCCTCTTCTCAGGGGAGTTGGCGCAGACATGGGATGGACGTCTGGGGACAGATGCGGAGACACCGAGGAGCCGGGGAGACAACAGGTGTGTTACCTGTCCCAGAGCGAGGGCGAGGACCTGGCCAGCCGGCCCTGCAGGACGCGGGGCTGCCCAAGGCACGAGGGCACCCAAGGGCTGCGCAGCCTGTGGGTGGAGAGGACAGAGCTGCTCAGAGCGGGGACCTGGGCTGCGCTGGGCCCGCCAGGGCATGCGGTCTCAGAGAGCTGGGGGGTCGCCCCTCCTGGTGGGAGAAGTCCCTGTTATCAGGGGGGTGGTGGGGTGGGAGTGTAGGAAGCAGGGAGGGGCTCCCAGCCGTGCACCTGCCTGAGCTCATCAGTGGCACCGAGTCCCACCAGTGGAAGGGTCCCCACCTACAGGCCTTCACCTGTCATCTCGGCCTCAGAAGGGAGTCCTGGTGGGCAGGCGCCCCCCAGCTCCAGACCCCTGCTGTCTGGCTACCGTTCCTTTCTTGCAGGACCCATTGGTCAGAGAGCCTGGGAGGCAGATGGAGGGACAGTGTGATCCTAGCCCCAACCTCTGTAGGAAGGTTGTGATGTGCTGATGTGTGGACAGTTGGTGGAGTGTCCTGGAGGCTGTGGGACCTAGTGGATGTTAGGGGTCTAGGACAGGACCCTTCCTGTGACCCCTTCTCACCAGTTCTGCTCGTGGCCTGTCTGCACTGGACGGTGGGTGGGACGGAAGGGTGTGGCCCGACCCAGCCCCACAGCGCTGCCCTGCTGAGGGGCAAAGGGATATTCATCAGCACCGTAGCCACGCGTCCGCTTGGTCATCACCCTTCCCTGGGGTCTCTCCAGGATCACTCCCAGTGGCCTTGCTGGCCCTGGAGCCAAAGCGGAAATCTGATGGGAGGATGCTGCCCCAGATGTCAGGCTTCCAGAGAACACCTAGCGAGCAACACGGTCAAGCGTGTGTGTGAAGAGGAAGAGCAGCATAACCCCACTTACAAAATAACTGCATAGCGACGGCCGCACAAAACCACGGAAGGAAAAGAAATGTTCATGTTATTACGGGTGGGTGGTGGGATTCTAGGCAATTAAAATGTTTTCTTTTATACGTTTCTGGATTTGTGGTATTTCAACTACAGTAGAACGAAAAATCAGAAAAAATTTACTAAAGATCAGTTTTGCCCCCTCCCTCCCCGCAGAAAAGGTTTACAGTGTTCATTTGACAGGCTGGCGGGTGGGGCATGGTGTGGGTGGGGCATGGCAGGGGTGGGGCATGGCAGGGGTGGGGCCCTGGGCTGTGAGCTGCACATCAATCACCACCTCCGTGGGCTCCCATTGGCTCATCTATGCCCTTGGTCCTGGTCTCCAGGGCTGATCTGCTTGCCAGACCCAGGACATGGTGAAGAGGGGTGGAGGAGGGGCAAGTGGCTTGGTCTCTGTTCGAACCGGACTTTGGAATTCCAGACCCAGGGTCCACCCTTGGCCAATGACCCCAGTGCTGCTAAGTGAACAGAGAGCAGGGGCAGGATGGGCCGGTTCCTGTGGGAGTAGCCAGAGACCCAGTCTGCCCTTGGTGGCTGGACTGAGGCCATCAATTCCCAGGGCAGTCCACCTCCCAGCCCTTGCCAGCCAGTCCCCACCCCAGAAGGCCCATCCACAGGGGGCTCCTGGCAGGTGGGTTGTCAGAAGAGTGGAAGGGAGGCTGGGACCCTGGGGGGGTTCAGGGAAGGGGTGGGGCTTGTCTGGAAGCATGGGTAATTGGGGGCATGGCTGGGACTGGACTCAGACTCCGCCTCTGGTCACCTACAAGGCACTGATCACTAACAACCACTCTTATTCTGATGCAAATTATCATTTACAGCCTGTTGCGGGGGAGCACCTATTCCAAGAGATAACACTGGGGCCCAGAGAGGTTAAGCAACTCTCCCAAGATCACACAGCAAGTCTGCGGTCAGGATGAGATCCCCCTGATGCCTGTGATACTGTGCTGGGCACAGGGGAGGAAGGACAAATGACCCTAGGGGCCAGGGGGACATCCTTCCCTGCTCTGCAGTGTCAGCGTGGTTATTGAGGGCAAAGGTGCTCCCTGCCGGGCCAGCAGCTCCCAGCTCTGGTGGGCTATGGTGATGGGGCGGGGCTGAGCTGAAGGAGGGTCTGCCAACCAGCTCCCAGGTGCCAGGAGCCCCCAATCAGGCAGGGCCCCGCGTCCCTGTGGCGCCCCCACGACACAGCCCATCCTTGCACCCGCTTTCTGAGCTCAGGCTCCAGCCCCGGCCCCCACAGTCATGCTCCAGCAACACCAAATTGCTTGTCATTCTTCACATGCTGCAGGCAGCTTCTCATCTTGGTGACTTTGTCCCCGTGTCCCCTCTGCCAGGGTGGCACTCCCTCCCTCCCACTCAGGTTAACTCCTCCCCATCCAGGGCCTGGTAGGGGACCCTGACACCCCAGCCTGCCCCGGCCTGCCCCGGGTGGGGACCAGTTCCTGCTCCCTTGGCAGGGAGCGTTATCGGGGATGAGTCGCTGTACTGTTCATCGCTGTTCCCAGTTTCCCGCTCCACGTGGGCGCCCCTTGTCCAAAGTGCAGGTCATGAAACCCAGCCAGACCATGCCCCGCCTCTGGGCAAATTCCCCGAGATTCCTCACCCCAAGTCTCTGTCCCCTCAGACCTACCGCTGCCCACCTTCGCCCTGCGCTGGCTCCCCTCCAGCACGCTGGCCTTCAGGCTGGGCGTGAGTCACCCTGAGCCCCTTCCTTCTCACCTCTGGGCTTTAGTCCTTACTGTCCCCTCTGCCAGGAGCCTTCTCTCTGGACTGTTTCTGGGCCCACCCCTCCTCCTCCCTCAGGCCTCAGCCTCCAGGGACAGCCTGCCTTCCCCTAGCTGTATCTCATTCCAGAGGGGACAATGACTTGGTTCCCTGCCCGCCGTCCCACAGGACCCCCTTCACCAACTGTCCCCCATGCCCAGCGCCATGTCCACACAGAGCCGGTGCCCAGCAGCACGTGTTGCATGAACAGCTGCAGAAACATATGCAGAAGTGGAGCTGATCTTGTCCCGGGGCTGCAAGGTCTGCTGTATTTTTATATCCTCGGGCTGACTTAGGGGTTGGATCAATGGGGGTGGCCAGAAAAGCCCCCAAACCCTCCTTCCTCCCCTGCGGTTCCAGTGAGGAGTGGCGCCCCCGCCCCCACCAGCCTCTCATGTAGCCCCAGCAGCCAACTCCCTGGAACTCGGGCTCGTGGGCACAGGGACTTGCTGCCAGCTCCCAAGGTCAAGAGCAGTGCCTGGCAGAGGCAGAGGCCATGGTCCCAGCCTCCAAACTACCACCAATGGGCTGCCTTGGCCAAGGTGACCCTGGCCTTGGGACAAGATCTTCACTTCCCCTCTGAGAGCCCCCTTGTGCTCGGTGGCCACCACTTTTCTGTGTCTCAGAACAGTCTCTCTCTATTCAAGTCCCTTGAACTTGATCACTGCCGCGCTGATTCCATCCTCTGTGTCCCCATTGGGAACCCACTCTGGACCTCTCTCGAGGGGCAGTTGGGCATGAATGGTCAACCAACACCTCCAGCACCTGCTGAGGGCCTGCCTAGCCCCAGGTGCCCACACAAACCCACTCATCTGGTCTCAGACTGCTCTGTAAGGGAGGTGTGCCCCACACCCATATTATAGATGAGTAAACTGAGGCCCATGGTGATGCGGTCACACAGCCCTTGCAGGATTCAGCACTGGGCCCGCTGCTCTTCCCTGCACACTGAGATGCCAGACTTCAGTGCAAATCACAGCCCTTTATACTATTCACTGAACCGTCTCCCACACATCGTGACGGCAACGAGGCCCAGCCATTGGGAGGGCAGATCACTGCCAGCTGGATGGAGGCAGAGGCTGGAGCCAAGAAGTTAGCCATCTGTGCAGGGTCAAGGTCAGGGGCATGACACATGACAAATGTCCCACATGACAGCCCTTCCTGCTTCCTGTCGGGCCTGTGAGCATCTCCTTGGAGGAAAACAGTTCTGGGCATCTGGCTGGTACTGCTCTGTGGCTCAGACTTTCCTGCCCAGGCCCCAGGCAGCCCCTTGGCTGACTCTGCAGTGACTTCACCAGCAATACCACATGCCCGGAGATGGGGACTCTGGACGCTGCCACCATGGCACCAGGCTGTTGTGTGACAGTCCCTGAGGACGGTGGTGCATATGTATGTGTGTGCATGTGTGTGTGTGTGTGTGTGTGTGTCTGTGTGTGTACTGGGGAGGGGATTTTCACAGTGCTGGCCTGTGCGTCTGCAGCCAGGAGGACCGGATGGGGGCAGGGACTCCTCAAACTCCAAGTCTACCCAGGTCCGGCTCTCTCCTAGTCTGCTGACCAAGGTCATCCAGGGGAATCATCCCTGCCTCCCTCCCCATCGCCCAGTGACATAGCTGCTCCACTGCTCCTCCTGCCCAGGGGCAGGAGATGGAGATGCTGTAGGAAACATTTCATCCAGCCTCATCTTAGCAGGTGGCTTCAGCCCTGCTCCCACCGCCCCCTCTCTGTAAGGTAGAACCGTGTGCTGGGAGCTGGCGGCACTGTGGCCTATGAGCCCTCAGTGGGTGGGCAGACCTGGGGGTGCTTGGGGACAGGGTAACCTGGGCAGGTGGACAGAGCAGCTGTAGAGTCACCCTTGGGCCTTTGCACATGCTGCCCCTCCTGCTCAGAACATCCCTTTCCTTGCTCTTTGGTTCATTCAATTCACCTCCTCCAAGAAGCCCTCCCTGACCTCCTAGTGGGTCAGAAGCCCTCCTGTCCTAGCTCTACAGTACACGGGGTGCTCTTTGGGTGCAAGAGCTGTGTCTGCTCCTTGTCCTCAGGGCCCCAGTTCTTGGCCGGGCACACAGCAGGGCCTGATGGCCCTGTGCTAGAAGTGCCCTCTGCCAGAGAATCTACCACATTCCCTGCTCTGCTCCCTCCCTCACCCGCACCTAGAAAATGACTTCACACTTTCTCCTCTCTGCTCAACCTCCCAGCACCTCCTCCCCCACCCCTACTCACAGCTGATGACCTCGCTTCCTTTTCCACTGAAAAAACCAAGCCACCCAAAGGAGCTTCCACAGATGCCGCCGCCAGGTCTGCCCACCCACCAGCATCTGCCCGCCTGTTACTACAGACAACCCGCCGGCGGCCCCTCCGCCCGCTCTGGGCAGGGCTCCAGCTAGTCTCCCCTCGCTCCCAAGCCACCTATGTCTCCCTCTCTTCTGGGCCATTTTCTCCAGCATATGTACATGCAGGTATTTCTCCCATACTGAGAACGACCCTCTGCCCACCCTCAGGGTACTGTCCCCATTCCCTGCTCCACAGAAACGCTGTCTGGCTTCGCTCCTGTCCTGCTAGGACCAGTGCCCACCTGGCTCTTTTCCCCTCCATGCTACTGAACCAGCTTTTGCTGGTCCCTTCTCAATCCTCACATGACCTGAGCCCTCGAAGGCCAATGACATGTCCAACCCCTCCTTCCTCCTGCAAACACCACCCTCATCTGGCTGCCCTTCTCAGCCTCCTCTGCGGGTGGTCCTCTCCTTGACCTCCTAATGACAGTGGGGCCTGGGGATCCGGCCTCCAGCCTCTCTCCTTCCCTGGGGACAGCCAGCCACAAATACCATCACTCTGCTGAGGAGTCTCAAGTTTACGTCTCCCCGACTCCAGGCATACGTACACCCTGCTACCTCCATCTCTGCTTGGCTGACTCCCAGGCAGCACAGACCTGTGGACGCACCTGTACTCCACTCTGCTGGCCCTCCCCAAACCCGCAGCCTTCCTGTCCCACCCTTTCCAGCCAGACCAGTGCCCCTCCCCAAGCCTGGAGGCATCTGTGACTCCCTTTCTTCCCTCCAATCCTTCCATCCCCTGCTCTGCCTCCAGAATATACCCTTCAGTTCTTCCAGCGCCGCCCGCCACCCTGAGCCTGACTTCTCTCATGGAATTGATGCACAGCCTTCTAACTGGCTTCAGGCTCCTGCCCTCACGTGCTCGGAGCCAGCAGGATCTTATTGAAGGCTGTCCATCCTCTCTCTGCTCAAAATCTCCCCCATAGCCCCTATATCAATCACTAAGGTCAAACCCAAGATGTCTACACTCATTACCTGATAGCAGGTGGCCTCCCTGGGCCTCACCTTCCAGCCACATTCAGCACGGTCTTGCCTCAGGGCCTTTGCACCTGCTTTTCTGCTGCCTGGATCCCTCTCCCAGATGCTTCCTGTCTTCTCTTCTCCCTCACTTAACATTCCAGTACAACTTTCTAGGCGGGCCTTCCCTGAGCGCCACAGGTACCTCTCTCTCCCTTTCCCCTGTGTGTCCTCGGCCTCGCCCCCCAACCCCCACCCCAAGCAGCAGCTCCACAGGACAGGGATTTTTGTCCACCTTGTTTCCTGCTATGTCCTCGGACCCTGCAGTGGAGCCTGGCATGCAGGAGGGCCCAAAAAACATTTGCTGGATGAATGAAAACCACATAGTGAATGCATTTTACAGGTGAGCACACGGAGGCTCAGAGGGAGAACGGGTCACCCCAGGCCAACAGGCTGCAGACCTCCTGACGACCCACCCAGCTCCCCTCTGCGGCGTCCAGAGCTTCGGGCTCCTCCTTGCCCCTCAGGTCGGAGGCTTGAGGGGTTTGTTTTTGTATGTCTGGCTCTGCCAAAAGAAACTGCTCACTGACTTCTGTAAGGTCTGAACCCCCTGAAGTGATCATGAGAGGGTGACATCTGAATTTCAGATCAACAATGTTTAGTGTAAGCATGTCCCAAACATGGCAGGAACAGATTTAGACTGAATCAGCACCCAGTTGTTTATCAAAATTTAGCAGCTCAGTAAAGTATAGGATGCCCAGTGAATTTTATTTAAATTTATTTAAATGTATTCAAATCTCCCTGGGCATCCTGTACTTCATCTGGCAACCCGAGTACAGAGGCAGAGGTGACTCCATGAGGAGGGTCCCCCGTACCTGCAGGAGAGGCCATCCATGCCCGTCTTGAAGAAGAGCAGGACCATGGCCAGCCATCTGTGCAGGGGACACAGCTTAGGCAAAGGCCAGGAGGTGGGAACATCCTGGCCAGGGCCAGGCTGTCCCCTGGAGATGAGTGTGGCTGGAGCCCAGGCTTGGCTCAGCTGGCAGAAAGCCCTGAGTGTCTGGCCCTGAGTGGTGCCGAGTATTCGGTCCTCCCACTCAGGGCCGCTCCACAGCCAGGAGGACTGGCAGGGGGCTCTGGCCTGGGGCTGTCCCCTGGTGAATGAGCCAGGATGGGGAGCCCTAAGGAGGAGGTTTCCTCAGAGGGGCAAGGTGAGCCAGACAGTCGGTCCCAGGGAGCCTTCAGGGCCCCCATTGTTTGGGGGCCCCTTGAGCACGCCTGCTTGCCCCCTCTTTCCCAGCGCCCAGCCCTGCACGGCTGGTTGTCTATTCTCTTGCCTCCCATTCTAGACTAGGGGCCTGTGGGTGCTGGAGGTTGGGACAGTGCACACTTTGGCCCTGGACCCCTCCCCTGCCCTGAGTCAGTGTTCGGGGGCGTCTGTGGGGAGGGTTGGGGGATGGAATGACCAGGGATCGGCCCTCCAATCAGTGAGAGCTCCCCACAGGGCCCCCAAATTAACCTCCCAGTGCCTGCCATCCCTGCGCCGGATCCCTGGTGAGAAGGGGCTGCTGTTCAACACTTTGATGATCAGGTTCATTACTGCCCACCTGGAACCCACGCTGGCTTCACTAATTTGACCCCCCCCAGCTGGTTCACCACTGCAAACAGACATGGGTGCACATTAATTAGATTGGTGGGCGGGCCTGTTCGGAATTCTGGGGATCATAAAGGTAATCAGGGCGGCGGGAGGCTCACTGATGACCCTGGACTGCGGGGCAGAGGGCAGCCTGCCCCAACCCAGTGCTCCCTACATGCCCCAGGGCCCCTCCGGGACGCCCTGGGTCCCTGGTCTCTCTGCCCCCACGTCCCCACCTCCTCCGCACCTCTCCACACCCACAGGGGACAGTCTCGAGGGCCAGACCGAGTCTGGGAGAAAAGGGCTGGAGACATCACGGTGGATTTCAGCATCAGACAGTGACTGCAATAAGGCTCTGAGGCCGAGGAAGGAAGCTGCCTTTCTGGGCCTCAGCTTCCCCAGCTGTAACCAAAGCCCGAAGGGACACTGTGACTATCAACTCCTTCTGGAAGCTTCCCCTGAGCCCACCCCTTTCAATCACCCAGTAAGACCTACTGCGTGCCCTTGACAGTTTCCTCACTAAAGCCTCATCCAAGGCCTGGCAGGGAGGGGGATGATGCCTGTTGTGCAGATGAAGGAATTGTGGCCCGGGGGGCGAGGGCCTTTCCCGAGGGCACCCAGCTGGTGAGCATAGGAGCCAGGATAGAACGCCCCCCAGGGCAGCCCCTCTGAATGTCACCACTGGTCACCCGGCCCTCGCCCCCCGGCCAGGACACAGAGGCCAAACACCCACCCCGGCAGAGCACCCCCATGCTGTCAGCCACGAGGGCTGAGGAACCCAGATTACCTGGTCCTGCTGCATTCACCCAACAAACATCTCGGGTATCCCCAAATCTGCCCCATCTCCATCTTCCCCACCTCAGGTATCTTCCCCATCTCGGGTGTCCCCAAACCTGCCCCATTTCCATCTTCCCCATCTCAGGTAGCTCCATCGCTCAGGACAGACACCTGGGCCTTGCTCCAGACACCAACGGCAACATCTCTGGAGCCTCAGTGGGCCTGTCAAGGGACAGGGGTGATGCGGCAACTCTCAGGCTGTCACGAAGGTGGAGTGAGAAAGTGCAGGATGGGGCCGGGTGCCGTGCCCAGTGTGGAGTAGAGGTCCAGATCTCAAAGTCAGGGCTGGTTTTCTGCCTGTGGTTAATGGGGGTGAGGCAGAGTGCTGAGAAACAGGCACACGGCACATCCTTGCTCTAAAATCCCCAGCCACCACAGGGACTGGTGATGCACCCTCCCTGGGAAAAATGCAGGCAGTCTCGGGTGCAGCAGAACTGGCCCCCGCACTCTGAAGTGCTCTCTCAGTCCGAACTCAATCTAGGACTGCCAGTCACACCCCAACGCCCCACCTTACCAGGTCCTCTCCTTCCCAATGCAAATAATGCCACCTGCTCCACAGTTGGAGAAACAGGGCCTGAACAAAAATGAGAGCATCTGAGAGAGGGGCAGGCAGTTAACAGCCAGAACCATCCCACACAGCACTGGCCATGCTGCCAAGCTCCACGTTCATGAGTTCATTCTCAAAACAACCTGCTAAGTTAGGTGCTCTTATTATTATCTGCATTTTGTAGATGTAGAAACTGAGGATCAGAGAGGCTCAGAAACTTGCCCAAGTCCACCCAGCTAGTAACTGGCAGACTAAGACTCAAATCCAGGTAAGTCTACCTTTTTAACCACATACTTCATCAGGGAGGCTTTGCAGAGGAGTGGGGGACGCAGACGGGCTGTGGGAACAGGAGACTGGAGAGTGGGAGAGAAGAAGCTAAGAGAGAACAGCCCATTTGGAGGGTCCCTCTAGAATGCCCTGGCTCCCAAAGGGAGAAATCAAAGCCAGGCAGTCATTCACAGCTTAGTGAGAATTAGTCCGTAAGACTTCCTCCACCAGGATCAGGTTTAGAAGTGAGGCAGAGAGCCTTGATGGATCACACTCAGGGAGGGGCTGGGCCTGCTGGGGCAGTGGATGGGGTGGAGGAGGCAAGAAGTGGAGAGTAGGAAGTCTGGAGGGAAAGGGACAGGAGATACAACAGCCTGATGGAGGCATTAGGTAGATTCAAGCAGGTAACCGGCTCCACCCCTAAGACACCTCTTCTTGATTTGGCAGGTCCCAGGCCACAATGCCAGCCAATGTCCCGACCCTGGACAAGCACCTACTGCATGCCCACTCTGGCTGGGGGACTGGGGTATCCTTCGGGGCAGGGGACCTGCCAGAGCAGGTGTGCCGCAGGGGTTTGCCAAATAAAAGGGGGCACCCCAGAGCCACAGGTGAGAGATCATCCTGTGCACCCCAAGCCCACTCCTCCCCACAGCTGCCCCCATCTCAGGTGACAGCAAGTCCATCCTTTCTGCCACTCTGGTGGGCCTCCTTGTGGATGCCCCCTTTCCCTCACACCGTATGTCCAACCCCTCAGGAGACCCTGTCTGCTCTCCTAATGCATCAGAATCCGACCTCCCCTGCCCACCCTCGTCGCCTCCGCCTGGTCTGAGCTGCCATCATCTCTCCCTCCCTCAGACCCTGCTGTCCAGGCCTCCCAGCTTTGCCCTGCTCCACTGCCTCATCCCAGCGCAGTAGGGA